TCCACCTGAACCTATGCAGATCACCACAAGTATTCTTGATTTATTGTTGATCTGTAGTCGAAATGCAACTCCTGCTCTGTCTTCGTTTCACTTCTTCATCTTCATCATGTTTTGGCAGCTGCAGTTGATTTTTTCAAGATTTATGTGACAGTGCGTGAGAGTCACACACACACAGACACACACACACACATGTGTGTGTCTGTGGGGCTGCTTGGCTGTCGCTGCCGCCCCCTGCTGCAGTCCCAGCTCCCCCCACAGCAATTAATTAGGTTTACTGTCCGTTTGGCCTCTTGCATTGATTTATTGGCTGCGCCTCTGTTCGACGGGCATCTTCGCTTATAGCTGACAGCCACGGGGACAACTTCAAGTGGGAGCCCGCAGAATTAATGAACTGACAGTGCAGTTGGCTTTGACTTACTCTTCTTCTTCTTCTTCTTCTTTTCGCTTGCTCCACAGCCATACCGGGTCTGGGCAAGAGCGGCAGTGACTTCAACACAAGCCGTCCAAACAGTCCGCCCACCAGCAATCACACCATCCAGAGCCTGAAGAGCAACAACAACAGGTAAGTCGCCATCCGGCTGCAAGTTGTCCAAACGAACTGTGACTAATCTCAGTCTCCTGCTCCGTTTCGACTCTTTGGCAGCCTGCGTCCGCCCAGTGTGAAGAGCGGCATTCCCTCGCCGAGCAGCCTGAATGCGCCCACGGCTCCGCAGAAGCACTCGATGCTGGACAAGCTGAAGCTCTTCAACAAGGAGAAGCAACAGAATGCGGCCAATGCAGCCGCCGCGGCAGTTGCATCCAACAAACAAACGCAACTCCAATCAAAGCGCACCTCCTCCTCCTCGGGCTTCAGCTCGGCCCGCTCTGAACGCTCCGACTCCAGCCTGAGCCTCAACGACGGCCACAACTCGCAGCTGAAGCCGCCCAGCATCAGCGTCAGCGCCCAGAAGAGCCAGCAGAAGCACAACACCAAGCAGTCCAAGCTGCTGGCCGCCCAGCAGAAGAAGGACCAATGCAAGCCTAGCAAGCTGGACAAGAAGGAGAAGAGTCCCGCTCGATCGCTGAACAAGGAGGAGTCCACGCTCTCGGGCAACGAGTCGCGCAGCTCGACGATGGGGCGAGCGGGCAAAAACTCCCTTGCTCGCGGCTCTGCCGAGAAGAACACCCTGAAGACGTCTTCCAAGACCTCGCTGCACTCCAAGTCCGATGCCAAGGGCTCGCCCAAGAGCCAGCAGCAGCAGCAGCAGCAATCGCAGCTGCAGAGTCCCAGCCTGACGAAACCCATTGCGGCCATCAAAGGCACCAGCAAGCTGCCCCAACTGGGCGGAGCACCTGGCCCCAGTGAGCTCTACAAACGTGAAACAAGCGACATATCCAGCAACATATCCCACGACCAGCACCAACAGCAGCCGCAGCAGCAGCTGCCTTCCTCTCTTGGCTCTGCTCAACATATCCTCAAGGCGCTGCCCTCGAGCCCACCGCCCCCTTATTACGCCAATGCGCCGACATCCTCGAATCACATATCAGCTATTTACTCCGGCAACGGCTCCCACTCCGGCTCTGGCTACCTGAGCGAACCGACCACCCCACAGCCCGGCGGCATCTACGGCAGCAACAGCCGCCTCCCGCCGCCCAAGTCGGCTCTGAGCACTCCCCGCAAGCTGGAGTACAATGCAGGCCCGCATATTCTGGCCACGCAGCGGTCGCCCATGCAGCGCCCGATGCACAACTCCGCGCCGAACACGCCCACCGCCTCGCCCAGCAAGTTCCACACGATTCCGTCGAAGATCGTGGGCACCATATACGAGTCCAAGGAGGAGCAGCTGGCCTCCTCGACTGCAGGCGCCTCCTCGGCTGGCGGCGGCTCCTCCTCCGCCGCCTCCTCGGTGCTGCCCATGCGTCCGTTGCTGCGCGGCTACAATTCGCACGTAACGCTGCCAACGCGTGGCGCGCGCGGTGGCCAGCAGCATCATCCCCATCAGTCCTACCTGGACTTCTGCGAGTCGGACATCGGGCAGGGCTACTGCAGCGACGGCGATGCCCTGCGCGTGGGCAGCTCAGCCTCGGCCAGTCGCTATCACGACATCGACAACGGCTACCTCTCCGAGGGCAGCAGCGGCCTCAGCGGCGCCGGCTCATCGGGCGGCGTCTCGCACGGCAAGCACTTTCTCAGCATGATGCGGGCCCGCACCCAGCTGCCGACAACCATCGAGGAGCGGTAAGTGTGAACATATAAACATATAAAGACTCAGCTCAAATATATTTACTATACAGTAATGAATATAAACACAAGTGCTGCATTATTCATATCATATGATATATGTACATTTCATATACTTTTATTACTAAACAAAATGCTCTTTAAATTGAAAAGTTCTTCAGAGAAAGTATATCAGAAATTCAATATGTAATGGAATCTAGAATCGATTTTAAAATCTAGCATCTAGCATCGATAAGAATTTTACTCAGAACATCAATCTGATTGATTGATGTATCGAGTTAGTAATAGAAAAACGATGAAAGTGGAAAAGCCAACATGTTAGGATATTCATCTCATACATATATACGTAGATAATTATTGATAAATATCAAAACACCTTTGTCCCTTTCCTTTTAATAGAATTGAGAGATTATGAAATCTATAATTGATAGCCCAAGCCTCCTGCATCCTGGAAAAATCTCTTTTTAGACTCATATTAAGAGCAAGTTCTGCTTTTGCTCATTAATCTAAAACTGATTAATTTTATATATAAATTTTTTAAATCTTGAAATATACTAAGCTAACGTGAGCAGCTTAGCAAGAGAAGATCCACATTTTTCTTCACTCATGAATATTTAACTTTGTTGCTTTAATAAATTTAATAAATTGAGTACAGTTGCGATATACAAATGCGTTCGCCTTCATTGCCAAGTATTTTGCTAATGCGTGAGTCATTCCTGAGCGACTCGTCCAACAGCTGACACCAATGAGTCAACGAAGAGTAGCGTTTCGTATCGTTTCATTTAACTGGGGCTTGGATATCGCGTTGGGTTCCAAGAAGTTTGTCGCCTGTTGTGAGGTGTCCATAAAACGGCACTTAAACCGCCGGCTTTGGCGTTCCCTTTGACTTGGGCTTTAGGCCTGACTGCATCTCTGCTTACCACGCGCAATTTGGCCACGCTTTTGGTGTCAGCGACGCGCGAAGAAGTAGACAGAGAGATGAAGAGAGGGAGAGAAAGGTAGAGAGGGAGGCACTCATCATTTGAAGCAGTTAATTGTCATGGCAGCCACTTGAGCTCCCTAACAACTTCCGCCTGGCTCTTGAGAATCAAATGCCCCAACGCTCGAATTGCCAATTTGCATAAAATCCACTCGATGCTGACTTCAGCAGGCTCAGCTTCAGGCTGTGAGCTCCTCCTGCTCTCCACACTCCCCGGCGGCTTGTCAAATGTCATTTGCAAATTGTCAACAGCAGCCAAACAGACGACGGCGACGACAGCTTGACAATTGACAATTGACAATGCTCACCTGTCAAAGCACCTGCCCAGTCCAATTTCTGCCCCTCTCTCTCGCACCATGCAAATGCCGTTCTAGGGATATTGAGATACATCCACGCAGTTCCGCATGGCGACGGGCCCAACCGAGCTACTTGCCATTTTGGCACTTCAGTTAACAAAGGTATCTATGGAAATAATATTGCTGTTAACAAGCGAATTTGACGTGTGCACAGGAGCGACACAGAGGCTATGACCCAAACAGATTTCCATTTTCGGGCTGCAGAGTCATCCGATGTTTGAGCATAGATGCTTGTTCATATATTCGATTTATGGGTTTCCCTTGGCATTCATAGCTTTAAACTTGTTGAGTGTGGCGTTGCTTATCAAATAAGCACCCAATTTGTGGCCAATAAAATACAAACTGTGCCGCAGAAGGTATAGGAGCTATTAAAACCCTTTAAATGTGGCTAACTGGTATTTTATTACATGAAGCCCTTAAGCAGTTGCCTCTTCAGGTCCAGTATTGAAAGAAAGTTTATAGCTTATGACAAAGCAAGGCTTGGCGACTTGAAATGCCTATAGAGTAATTGTTTTAAAGCTTTTTACTTTTTTTTTTTAGTATTTTCCTCTTGTAAATGTTTCTGGGAACTAACTTTGTGCCAAAGAATACTAAACAGGTTTAGTTAAGCCATCGTGAATTGGTATTTACCTTTCAATTTGATTGTTGTTAACATTACAGTAGACTGGAAATACATTAAATATTAAATCCTAGCAAATATATTTTTGTATGTAATTAAATGTTGATGTATCTCAAACACATTTTCTCAACAAAAATTTTAGTAAACTTCTACAAAGCAGAGAATCTACTAATTTTCTGCTTTGTAACACATAAGCGCCCAAACTGGGGCGCATTAAATATCTATAATTAGGTTTCGTTCTTGCCGCTCTATTTGCCAACCATTTGTTTGGCGTAAATAGAGAAAATCGCTTTTTTTTGGCAGCTGCCAGAATGAAGTGTGGTATATCATAATTTTGTGTATTTTATGAAACACTTGTCGAGGGAAAACTCCCGCCCACATTTCACCACGCATTTCATTAAAAAGCGCTTATGGGCTTTGGGAGTGAGTGCTGGGAAGGCAGGGAGGGCAGGGAAGGGCCAAGTGAGGGAGTCCACATTTTCATTAGCTTCGGTCCATCAGCGCTTTTGATCTGTGAAATTAATGCAATGCCATGAGGCGCTGAAATGGGAGCTCTCCATGCGAGTGCTCCATAAATAGACAGCAGGAGAAGCGGCAGCAGATGTTGTCGTCATCGTCGTCGTTTAGTTGGCCCCGTGGCTGAACCTTGATTGTGACTCTTGAGCCATGGTCACGTATTGCAGCTGCAAAATATGTTTTGTAATTGAATTTTAATGCACGACGTCGACGACCCCTTCGTCGCATTAGCGTCAAGCTGAAGCTAATCAGCTGCGGCGCCGACACCTGCAGGACATCAGCTTGAAGCCCAACAAGTGCCCATGTCCTGGCATCCTTCCTCCACTCTCTCTCCCTCCCTCTCTCTGTATCTGCCCTGCACTTCTCCTGCCCTCTCGTTAAGCTCTGTCTGGTGTTGGGTCTGCCTGCCAGTTGTCTAGCCATAAAAGTAAATCAAAATGCAGCAGGGCGCATATTTCAACAAGCTGGCAAACCAGGCAAACCAGGCAAACAGTTGGCCCTAGTGCTGGCCTCAAATCGGCCAGCTTTAGAGGGAAATAGCTAAATATCAGTGGATAGAACACAATAAGTAAAGCTGTGAATATCGTAGTATTGTTGAGTAATTTAGTGAGGTATACATCATCTATTCAGCTATTGTACGCATATAAAAGTAAATAAAGTGAAGATATGGAATCGCTGTTATTTAAAACCGACAACCGTACCAAGAACCTCTATTGACTGTATATTGTATATTTGTATATAATATTTTGTAAGGCAATAAAAGACTAAATAAATAAAATATCGAATAAATGAGGATTCTCTTCGACTAGGAGCATCTAGAGAATTCGCTGCCGTTTCAGCACTTTTCGATAAAGTCGAATTCTAGCAAATACAACTCTAAAGTATTCATTAACTTACTACAAAAGCTTACAATTTTAAATTATATAATCCTTATTAAAAAGCTCGCTATAATATATGAGAAAAACCAATTAGAAATAATTTTCGCATTCTAATTCAAGTATTTCAAATTCTCAAAATACCATTATCTATTAACCTTCATTTTCCAAGCAAATAGGAGCTAAGTGGGCAGCTCTGATTGGCAGTGCGCCGGCAAATTGAAAATAAATTTCGCACCCAACCGACCCGACATAACAAATACAAATTGTTTTTATTAATTTTATCAAATTCACTGAACCTGCCTGCAGACCCAAAATAATGTGCGGTTCACTCTACCTGCCACCTGTCGACGCCTCAGTTTACCTATTTAAAGGCGGCTGTCCGTTCGAATGCTCAATTACGTGATGTCCCAACGGCAGCTTTCCACGCAGCTTTGCCACATTTTCCAATTATATTGATACTCTTGCGAAGGGTATTTGACGTTTCGTCACGAAATTCCTCAGAGGTAGAGTAAACAATAAAGTCGTTCAATCATGATTGTACTGACTGATGACGCACTCTGATATAATAAAAGGAGCATAGGAAATTTTAATGACTGAAAAATATATATATTATTGCAGTTTTTCAACTATATATAACCTTTTCATTAAAGTCGTACTATCCATAATAATAATCAAGATTATTGATCAATTCATCATTGAAGATAAGATTATTGTTAAGATAAATGGTATACTTTAAATAAATGGTATACTTTTCAGAAATTGATCATCAATACTTCTGTTTACTAAAACTTTTATAAGATGAGGTTAACTATTCCTCCGCTTTATTTGTTTTCTTTATTCAATTTATTAAACACGCTCCCAAAACTTAAGAGTATTCAATTTTCGGCATGCTGAAGAAACACTTTCTCGCTTTTTATTTTCCTCTTTTTTTTAGGGTCCCCTTCAAGTGAAGTGCCAAACGATGATTAAATGAAGCGGAAACTTTTCGTTGGGTAGAATATTTTCTCTTTCGTTTTTTGCGTAAAATTGATTCATTGATTTGTTTTGCGCTTGTCACATTAAAAACATATTCTTTATTTAAGCTGGCAGCCTCAGCAGCTGCCTCTCAGCCCTCCCTCATGGCTGAGGACTGAGTGGAGTAAGTGGAAAGCTTATTTCGTTTATTGAGGGAATTAATCGTATGAGAAAATGATTTAAAGTGAGATCGAAAGGAAATGGTTTAAGCCAAGCGTCTTAGATTCGTAAAAATTGAAGCACTTTCAATTCATTTTACTTAATACACAATCTGTTTTAAGCCAATAATTGCATTAGCCTTGTTTTGTGTTCCGTGAAGTGAGAAAACTGAGGTAAAGTGAAAAAAGAAATGTTTATAGGATAGGCTTAAAATAGATGTACATATATTAGTTCTAGAAGTTTACGTACAAAAAGTCTTTAAACCATTAAATCTGGCTAAAAATAATCTGGTTAATGATAAATAATATTTTATCATTAAAAAAGAGCTCACTAAAATTGTCTATAACAAAAAACAAAAAATTAATAATTTTATATTTGAAGATTGATTTAAGTTAACATTCTAAACTCACGTAAAAGCACAGCTTTCCATCGCAGAAAGCTTTTCTTACATGTAGAAAGCTCGGCAGTTGCAGTAC